ACTGTTCATGTGATAGTTCCGTAATAACAAACTAATAAAATCTAATCGGCCAAGGAAGTGGCCTTAATAACAAAAAAGAAAAATCATTTTTATTTAAAATTTGATCTCGCACTTTATTTTTTCACGCAGATTGTGTTTTTATTGCTTGTTATAGCTTGCACATATGCAAATTAAAATTACGCAACATGAAATTTAATTATTACAGGTATTGTACAGTAAGCATTCACTTAACAAATTAACTCAAATTAGGATCGCTGTGGCTATTGAATTTGTATTGCACTAAATTAGTAGTTACTTATAAATAGAAAATCATTAAAAGCTTATCAAAACTTAAAGTAATATAAAGCATATTAGTGGGAATAATTTTATTAATGTATGAAGACTGTTTTGCTTAGTAGAAAAGTCCAATTTTAATATATTACTATTATCTCTTGCTAAATTTCTTTAGCAAGAAATTATTGTAAATCAGTTAAATGATAATATCTTGTGATCTGATGATCGAAATCACATGATTTTGGTATTATTCAACTCGTCTCACCAAAATGAATCGAATGATACAAAAATCATGTGATTCTAATTACTAGATCACGAGATATTATTTGTGTATCAAATTAGGTACTGCGTCAAATTAGGCATACCTACCTTATAATAAAGTGTTTGAAAAGACATAATATTATATAAATAAATCTTAATAGAATCTATGAGCAAGGAACCTGCATGGTAGAAATCTGAGTTAGTGAAGTAGTATAGCTTTCAATAGTTATACTCTCTGGTTTTTATCTTCTTTTTTAAGTCTTGAATTCTCTATATATCTTTTTTACTGTCGGTGTTCTTCAATTAGATTTTCTTGATCTTCCTTCCATATTTCTATTTTAATTAGCCTTTTTTCTTTTTTGACAACACGACCAATTTGACTTCTCTGGTTTTCTTTTCTTTTACTAATATCTATTCATTTTTCTTTTTGTTATCTGATATTTTATCTTCACTTCTCTAATTTGAAAATTTACCTATTTTCTTATACTTGTCTTTAACTTCTCTTGTTTAGTATTTTCTAATATTTTATCCTCTAGTATTTTAAACCATTTTGCTTTTTTTTTGATATGTCTCTTTCTTTTGCTTATTTTAAGTTGCCTCTACGTTAGCATTCTTTCTTTTTCACTTTCAAGAAGCTGGTTTATATGCCATAAGTTAAGCAATTCTAGACCTGTTTGTGCTTCTTTTATCTTGCATTTACTTAAGATATTATTGATAAAATATTCATTTTTTTTTTGCATATTTAGTATATTCTAACTTGCTATGAATTTATTTTCACTAATATTGATCTCTAGTCTTTTTGCATGTTGCAGTATTTTAGCACCTAGGTTCCTATACTTAACCCTTTTCTACTTTGTATCATCTGATATGAGTATACATTCTAGTATACCTGTATCTAATTAGAACTGCTTTAGTCTCATAAACATCATTGTTCTAACTATACTATTTGTATTTATTCTTATAAACAATTCAGATATATGATGCTCTAAATGCTTTTGCTATAAGCTCATTATACCAAAGATTTTGTTATATAATATAGTCACATTTGCATATATCAAAGGTAGCTTCATTTTCTACTTTAATAGTCTGAGCATAGGTTGATGAATTGCATTACAGTTTTTTTTCCTAAGACATACATTTGCAAGCAAATATTTAAACTTTGGTAATAGTACTATATTATTTATATAAATAATCTGACTCACTGAAAGCTTCTTAGTTCTTAATATACTTGTTATTTTGCCTACTTCTTTCTTGCAACGTAGAGTACTTGTTCTTTCTTGCTTCTTGAGACTAATCTATACTCCTAAAAACCTTGTACTTTTCTTAGCTTTTTTAACTTTTACTGTACTGAGTAGAGTTCTTATTTGTATTAAGTCTTCTGTTTTTTCTTTTCTGTTAGGTCACCAGACTATTACTTCTGATTTTGAACTATTTATTTTAATATCATTAAGCTTAAAGAAGCCAATTAACATATGAATGATTTCTTATAAGACATCTTTTAACTCAGCTACCCATGTTGTATCATCTGTATAAGCTAACGTGAATACTATAATTTTTTCAGTTTTAAACTTATTTCTTTTAATATCCATTAGCTATTGAATCTCTATTTAATATTTAATCTTTAACTGCTATATTCTTACTAGTAATAGATTATAGAAGATTCTCTATATTAATAGTGAAATTACTTCTCTTTAGTCTATCCCATCACCAGCTATAAAGAATTCTGTTGATCCTTCTTCTGTTATTATTCTTTTTGTTTTTTTTTGGTTGTTAAGGCGACTTATATTGCCAAAGGAATTTTATTAGAATTGTTAATAGGATTATATATTGATAATCCTTACTGTTTGTAATTACATGAAGAGTATACAACAAGCTACATATATAACTTTAGTCATTGTCTATTTTAAGTAGTCTACTACATAGCTATTAGGCTACCCAATTAGTTTTACACTATACTGCTATACCTGTAACCCACCTGTGAGTTACCTATTTAAACACTCTGTTTATTAACCTATACAAATCTAACCTAATGTCACTGCAATATCTAATTACTTAAGCTAGCTAACTCATTACAAATCTATTTATCCAAACAGCTTAGATCCTCTCAGAATATATTGTACCAGATGCATTGCTAGTACTACAGAGCTGGTTAATCTCGAAGCAAACCTACTAGAGTAGTCCATACTCATTTTACAGATTCATCTAATTTAGACCCTTGTAGATGTTTATACAACCTCAGGTTCCACTGTGGTCCTCTACTGGTCAGTTAACCTAGTCCTTTTCCAGTATCTAGCTAGTCCCAATTACCCTTTGTCCGAAGACCTCAAAACCTTCTATCTTTATTAAACTGAGTTTTCTTCTCGAATCAGACTTTAGCTGATGTAGTCCTGTCAGAAGGCTATACTACTTCACTGACTCAGGATTTTTACTATGCAGATCCTCTGCTCATATATTCTATCAAGATTTATACAGCCATACAATATTTTGAGTAAAATTTTGGTGTGGTTCTTAAAATTAGCTGTAAAATGTAAATGTCTTAATTGGACCCCAAAATTAGCCAATTACAACTCAAGATTGCCAGACAAAATTATCATTATCGTTATGTTTAACAAACCTTGGATCTATAATTAATTATATTTTTTTTTATTAATAATTAATTATTAGAGATTAGAGTTAGAGTGTGGCTGCCGTCAATAGAAATCAGACAGATTAAAAGCTTATATCTCGATGAATTTTAAAGCTATTTTAATGATTCAAAAGTAAAAATAAAGCTTAAAATTTAGACTTTATTTTCATTAAAATAGCTTCAGAATTCATTGAGATATAAGCTTTTAAAGTTAAAGTATTATTTTTTTAAAATATTTATCTGCCTGATTTCTATTGATGACAGCCCATATTAGGATGTGTATTTATATGCAAAATTAGGCGTTGAAAATTTTTACTTAAAAGCCCAAAGCTAGTTTTTATAATAAAATTTTGAGATATTGACGATTTCTTATTTATTTTCCAAATCGTAGTGTTAACATCACCAATACTACTACACATAATAATGATATACAAACCGAAATCATATATATTCGGATTTTTCATTGCTTCAAAATGTCAAAAATATCAAATAATCTAACTGTAAAACAGCTAGCAAAAATTAGTAATTCATCGGACGATATTAACCAAATAACTAATAATTTTAATCAATTGTATTTAAAAGATAATAGACACAAAATATTCTTGGTGAAATTGTTAAAGAATTGTGTAATCTGTATAATGAAGAAAGAACTAAAGGCAAAGATCCTAAATTAGTTATTGAAGTATTGGATCAATTTCTAGCAGAAAAGAAGCAAAATTCAGATGATATTATCAATTGGTATTTGAATGATGAAATAAAATCCTACGGTTTAAACTATTTTTGCAAATTGTTAACGTTTTGGTAAATGGGTTGAAAGGATAAGAATAAAGCATTCATTTATTATCAAAAATCCGCTGATATGGGTGATGCTAATGGAATATTTGGAGTTGGTGATTGTTATGAAAAAAAGAATTGGAGTTGAAAAGGATTATCATAAGGCATTCATTTATTATCAAAAATCCGCTGATATGTGTCATGTAAAAGGAATATATAATGTTGGTTATTGTTATCGAAATGGAATTGGAGTTGAAAAGGCATTCATTTGTTATCAAAAATCTGCTGATATGAGTGATGCTAATGGGGTTGGTCGTTGTTATCGAAATGGAATTGGAATTGAAAAGGATGAACATATTGGTATTAAAGGTAAACAAATGGGTTTAATTACATTTTTTGATATGCATTTATTTAATAATTTGAGTTAAACAAATAATTAGAGAAAAAATTATAGCATCAGGTAAAATGTCCATTGTTAATTCAATATAAAATATAATACAAAAACTTCTGGCTTTGTATTTATCACGGTTACGTCTCATTTCACCA